GTATTTTTAGTAGAGACGGGGTTTCACCATGTTGACCAGGATGGTCTCGATCTCTTGACCTCGTGATCCACCCGCCTCGGCCTCCCAAAGTGCTGGGATTACAGGCTTGAGCCACCGCGACCAGCCCAATGTATTTTGAATCAATGACTAAATGAATGAATTTGCAGCTGTGGGGGACGCCGGCCACAAGCTCTACCCCAACACACCTGATCTTGGCTTTCCTAAAGGCCAGCTCCTCCTCGTTCCCAAAGTCCAGGGACACATCCTCCGTATCGTCCACCAGGGCCTGGGGGGACAGCAAGGGCAGGTGGCAGGCCGGGGCACGGCGCACACCCCCACCCTACCCGCCCAGGCCACCCGCCGTGTCCCCCAGGGCCTGGACTCCACCAGCACACCGCTGGGCTCCCAAGTGGATCCTCCGAGCTGGCCCGGCCCCTGGGCTGCGGCCGCAGCGGCAAAGCCCTCCCCACCCCTCCCAGCCACCCGGCCTCAAGCAGCCCAGCCCCAGGCCCCGGCGCGTCCCTCCTCCTCTCCGGGCTTCCCCCGCGCGCCCGCAGGCTCCTCCCGTCCCCGCCCCACCTCCAGCCCCAGCATCCCCGCGGCCCTACCTGTTTCATCACCGTCCCAGGAGCCCACCTGGCGCCCAGGCCCGGGACTCCAGCTCCGCCCGTCGCCGCCGAAAGGCTCGGATGCGGGGCGGGCGGCTGCGGGCGGCGGGCGGTGGACGCGGAGGGTCGGGGCCTGCGCCCCTCGAGGCCGCCCGGGCGCAGGATCCGTAGTGGGGGCGGGGCGGGACGCTCGGGGCCCAGGGCGCAGTCGCGGGCTGGGGAGGGGGCTCGGCCCAGTCAGGACTCGCCCCGGCCAGAAAGCGGCGTCAGGAACAGCTGACGGAGATACTGGGAGGATTGGGAGGAGCGAGGGGGTGCGTGGGCGCCAGGTGTGCACGGCGCTCGGACGGCGATGGAGTGATCGATAAGGCACTGAACCACTGTCCGCGGTGGGCAGCCGCATGCAGGACTGTCGGTGTTTCCCAACCGTCTCCGCGCGGAACGCAATTCCTAGGACCCTTGTGAAAAGCAGAGTCTCAGTCCCGGCCCAGGGCATGTGGAAGGCCTGGAGTGGGGCCAGAGAATCTGCCTTCCCCCCCCACCCCTACACCCAGAAACAGGGCCTCTCTCTGCCAGCCAGGCTGGAGGGCAGAGGTGCCATCATAGCTCACTGTGACCTCAAACTCCTGGGCTCAAGCAATCCTCCCACCTCAGCCTCCCAAATAGCTGGGACCACAGGCTGCCCCACCACACCTGGCTAATTTTTTGTTTTTTTGTAGAGAGGAGGGTCTCATTATGTTGCCCAGGCTGGTCTTGAACACCTGGGTTCAAGCCATCCTGCCTCTGCCTCCCAAAGTGCTGACATTACAGGAGTGAGCCCCCACACCTGGCCTCATCTGCCTTTTAAGGGATGACGCTGCTGCAGCCACAGCTTCAGAACCGCAGTGAGATCTGCATCCATCTCTGTGCCAGGCACTTAATTAAGCACAAAATTCTTATTATTATTGACAGTAATAGTAGTGTTTCTTGATCTGAAAGCCTTCCTGGGTATTTCCCAGGAAAGAAAACTTGTCACCTGAGGGTCTTTCCTGGCCCAGAACACGGTGACTCTCCTCTCCTGCGTGCCTACTCCCTGTCCTGATCCCCCACCATGGGCAGAGGGCTAAGCATCAAGATAACAAGGCCACTGGTCCTCACTTTTCCCTCCCCCACCACTGGTCACCCCCAAAGAAGGCTCCTGGGCCACAAGCCCCTGACACATTTCCCTCACTGTTGGCCTCCATGGGTGGAGACGGAGGCAGGAGCTGCCTCATCTCTGATCCTGGGGCTTGGTTCCAGCCTTTCTGCCCTCCGTCCCCACCCCAGTTCCCTAAGCTGACCCCACAGAGGGGCCTGCCAAGTGTGTGTGGAAGGAGGGTGCTTTCTCCTATGCCAT